GCGTCATAAGAACTTAAGACGATGCAGCATTACAAATTTAAGACATGTTATAAGTTGAATGGATATAAATCATTTAATCCCACATAGGTACATTCACAAAAGTGTTACGCTGATGGATATATGAACCGACTACGTACTTAGATATATTGTCGACGAATTTACAGTCCTCATCAATTGACTGGACATCGATTCAGGGAGAATCAATCATGCTTCTTGATAACCCGAATTCAATCCTCTTTTGTAGTACCCTATCGGGAACAAGTTAAGTCGAACCTCCCTACCTCCTTCAAAGATAGATGTCCTGAAGGGCGATACATGACCGCCATCATATGCTAGTTGATGTAAGTAGAGAACCTATTCATTAAAACCGAAAATAGTTATCACGTTAATTTTTAAGTCCTTTGAAAACGGATGGTCAAAATCGTTACCCTATTCAAATTAACTATAATCTATTAAAGCATAGATGTATCGATTCGATCCAAATATCTTAAAAGCATCATAAGCAGCAGCAGCAGCAACAGTAGTCATGATGACCAACTACATATTTTCTGCACCTGCATGATGTATATATATCATTGTAATTTCAGTGTTTTGTCATGATCAATATGCCTGATGCAATGCAACATTCAATCATTTACTTGCTTATGCTGCAGCTGCGTCATGTGGTCCTAGGTAGCTTTGGTTCTTCCTTTATACATACGATCTAAATGATGACCTTGCACATATATGTTGCACATGACCAATCACTACCGTTATCTGAAACCACATTTGTATCACTTTAAACAGTATCAGATTCAAGAGTGACAAGAAATCATGCTAGCTAGCTACTTCTTCACTTTTTCCTTTTTGAATGGGTTTCAAAATTTGTTAAACGACAATACTATCCTACTTTCCAGAAGCGAGGAAAGTCCTCCTTTGATCCTCACTAATGTTACATCATATATTTCACCATATAAATATTATAACCGGTTCTTCTTTCACCTTAAGTGGTCTCCAATTCTAACGCAAGTGTTCTCCTCTTCTAGATGAAACATTTTCTAAACGTGGAATTTTTCCAAGAAATTCTGACAATATTTGCCGCACGCTTGAAGATGGCACGAGGGCATGTTCTCAGCATGTGTTTTTTTCTCAAAGTCCCACCCAGTCAAAGTTATGGCCTCAAAACCCTACTCATCCCACGCCATCATCAAACTATTGATTTATAATTACAATGCACACAAACAAAAATTCCACTTTTCCCACTTTTCAAAAACCCTAAGAACCCTAGAAACCCCAAAACCCTAGAAACCCTAAAACCGATGAATACTGTGAACAATTTCCAGAATCCAGACAGCAAAGTGCCAAAACACAATGAGAGGATCGATTCGGAATAATGAAGTGTGTGTGACGCACTAAACCCTAAACTCTAATCTGCATTTACTCATTGTCTGGAAATATTGACAGAATGATTTGGTCTTAAACATGGAAGTGGCAATGTCTCAGGAGATAACTTCTGAAAGCTAATAAAATCTAAAGCTAGATATAGATAGGATGATATGATCGGAGAAAGTACAAAACTGCAACGTTTTGACTGATGTCATGGTTACTTAAGAACTTTTTTTAATTAGGGTTTTGGGGGGAAATTAAAGTCATTGTCCATTGCTTGTTGTACAAGGCGTCAGTGCTGCTGGCTGCTGAGGACGACTCAGTGCGTCAGACGCACACGATGGCTTGCGATGATCCAACGGTCAACACTAGTCATCAGAGGCAGAGATTAATTACTCACTGTCTACAATATTTGTGATGGTGATATCATCGTTAGTGTCATATTTGAAGACTAATTAATTGGCATCTTCTATATATTAACTTCCACGTGCACACCCTCTTTCTTCAGAAGTATCGAGGCTGTAGCTTCTTCAGTCAGCCATGGCAGTCTTGGCAGACCCTTCTCGTGTTTCGAAAATTTTCCACCTCGTATTTGAAAGACGTCACTCATCACTCATCGCTTTAATTGTCTCTGATAATTCTGCAAGTGATTTGGGATTTTAGGTACGAGTTTAATTAATCACTTTTGTGGCTAATCATTTTGCGATTGAATAGTGTAAAAAATCGAAGTTTTTTTTTATTTTTTTATTTTATAAATGAAAATGGAAGCACAATTTTGTTTTCAAGTTTTTAACGGTACATTTCATCAAACATTTAATGTTTTGGTTGTCCTTTGCCAAGGCATGTTGTGCATTGTGTTCTGTCGAGATCTCTACCAATTGCCAAGTGATGCCGATTAGTCATGCTGATCATACATTTCATCAAACACTTAATGGACACACAAGGTCTCGTATCAACATTTGAAGGGCCCCTAAAGGACATGCCTTGTGTTTTTTCCAGCCTCCGAGTCCCAACGTGGATCTGTCAATAGACTTAGTGATAACCAAACTTGCGTGTAAACTTGAACCTAGACATTTGAGTTTACTAGTCGTGATACTTATACTTTTCTTTTATGTCTTGCCCTTCAAAGATTTTCGTTATAAGTGTCATTGTGTCACAAAAACATGGATATATATTCCTTGTGACAACCAAATTTACTTCACGTAAACCGAACCTAAACATCGAGTACACCACTTCATTTCATGCATCCTCATACATACTTATTGAGCCTCGTCCTTAAGGGAATCTCATGATGAGTGTTATAGAAACGCTTTCGTAATCCATAATTGGGCTCCAGAACTTATTACCTCACATTGTTCGATTGGTCTCTAGAGCTTATTAACTCGAACTTGAAAGTCCACAATAATTGGGCTCTAGAACATAGTAGCCCAATGAGTAACTTCAGTGGGCCATAAATCTCTACAAGAAATTAAACCTGATGGGAGGATGGTGGCTACAAGAGTACTAGGCAATATGGATCCCTTATCCAACTTAGTAAATTGAAGAAAATAAATACAATTACCATCCAATCTTTTTATAAAATGTTCAGATTCGGAAATTTACGGATTTGGATTCGGAATACCCATGGAGGAAACGGAAATTCCGTTCCAGCTTGCATTCCGAAGTCTTACATAAGATGTTTCAGTTCCACCATAACCACAAAAACAAAACACCGAAATAATAAATTTAACGATAAGTTGAATGTGACAATCTAAATGTACAAGACCAACCATTGCTAAGTGAAAAGTGCAATGCCAATCTCAAAAACATGACTTCCATCCACCGCCTGTGTAGCGCCTAGCTAGTTTCTTCAGCATTCACATTGTATGTCATGCTGTACATGGTTTTGCATCACGCCGCGAAATTAAATTCGGAACACATCAAATTTCAATAAGTTTGCTGCCACAGGCATATAAACAACTTTGCAGTAATGTATAATTCACATATATTGTAGACGGAGAATCGTAGTCATGATTGAGAAGGAAAACAGGGGAATTCAAACGGCAGAACAGATGCAAAAATAATGAAGAAGAAGAAGAAGAAGAAGAATCATACATCACAACAACACAAACATTTTCCCTTTTTACTTAGTTCCTTGGATTTTCTCAGCTGCCAAACAGAAATTGTGCAATCACACAACGAAAATAGTAAAAGAGAAGGAGAAGGAGAAAAATTATAGTTCACAACTCAAAAAATTTCTTGCTTTTCTCAGCATCCAATAGAGATCAAACAATTACACTATGAACTTCTTACTACAACAATAATTTTCAATAACAAAAGGAATATCACATAAGTACTATTCTAAAAATCTTGGTCACTGCCACTGCCACTGCCTGATTAATCCTTACGTTTGAAAGTCAATAAACTCTAAGAGACTTGTTGAATATGAAGACTCATTATATATTTGTTCGCATTTTTTTTATTATGTTCTAATGGAGATTAGTGTTTTATTGATGAAAGCTTTTATATTAGAAGGATGGTTGAATAAAAATGTGAAACGGTATTGGTTTAGTTGTAAAAGCAAGATCTACAAAGATTCTTCACTCAATAGTCTAATTTGGGGTGAATAATTTTGGCAATTTCTTTACACGATATGGATAATTTTGGCAATTGGTTTTCTCAAATTCTTGCTTTTGATAAGTTCACATAGTGCTACTAGTTCATGTGTTATAGTTTGAGTGAACTACATGGTTAATATTGAGAAGTTTCAGCGTACTGTCACATCGTCACGTGATATTACTAATTCACTTATATTATATTAAACCAATCTAGTATTATTACCAGGGGCGGATTGACTTAGGGGTAAGCGGGGTCAACTGACCCTCCAAACTCCTGTAAATCTCCATGGATGACTTGGATGCTGCCCCTTTGAAAGTTGGAGTTGCCCTTCATATATGCCCTTCAACTGCTTGATAAAATGCGTTAGAGAGGTATTGCCCCTTTACAGTCTAGTCCTAATATTATTTACCTCTGACTTGTTTGTTGATTGTGATTACAATTGTAGGCAGAAAAAAAAGAACCAAGTAAAAAACTATCCAAAAATGCAAAGTAAATGAAATGGTGATCTCAGAGAATAACAAAGCATCATCATTCTTGGACAAACATATTAATAGGATATAATGATATCAAACATTGTTAGTGTGTTCAAGATAAGTGTGTTTCTTTGTTAAGCATTCATATGGGAGTAGCCTTGGAATGTGTTAGTTACCCACACAAATGAGGCATTAATAGGTGTGCAATATGCATTTCCAAATGACTTCAGACCTACCAAGATTTGATGAAATGATGATATACATGCTATTTCTATTTTAAAAAAATTATGCGTTGGACGTTATTCTTATTGACCCCCCTAATATTTTTTCCTGGATCTGCCACAGATTATTACAATACCTTAGGTTCGTGACAAATCAACATGTGATTCACTTATACTATAATATATAAATTAATAAAATCTATTGAAAAATAAAAACCCGTCACAAAATATTATATTGAGTGGTTTCATACCTAATTATACTAGGACATTTTGTGATAAAATCTCAGAGGTAGTTAAGTTAGAGAATATATTAGTGCTGGACCGTTGAGTGAACTAATTGACATAAGCAAGCAAATCATACTTTATTAACTTGATTAGGCTAAAATTGAGGCATGTATGAAGCAAATAAAGGCATTCTCTTCAACAAACTCCAACCCAATTCTTAAACGCCAATGCAGCCTCCCTCTTTTTATGTTGGGATTCTGTCTGGAATTTTGGAGCCTTGCCTTTGTAACTTGTTCTATGGTACTTCAAGAAAAGCGTCCGGTACTTGTATTTGTCGACAAACATCTTCCCTTTCTCCATCATCTCCACAACTTCATTTGCTCGGCTGAAAAATCCGCCCCTCACGAAGGTGTAAAGAACCGAATCCAGGAGCTCCTGGTCGAATTTCATTGAGGTGGCAGCAGCAATGGACTTCATCTCACCCCACAACTCGGTCACTTCTGTATACTTTCCTCCTACAGCAGCATAACCAGTTACCATAGAATGGAATGTTTGTGCATTTGGGGTGTACCCGAGGCTTCTCATCTTCGTCAGCGCCTTCTCAGCGTCTTGCATGAGTCTCTTCTTGCAGAAGAAATGGATTACGTTGTTCCAGTCGTGAACCCCGGCATCGGATTTCTGCCCTTCCTTGATTTCCTGCAAGAGCTTTACCATCAACTTAGGTTCACCGTCCCCTGCACATTCATGTACTAGCCTCTCGAACTCCTGATGGCCAGCTTTTGGTATCTTAGCCTCCTTCATCTCTCTGTACAAATGGAGGGCTCCCTGTGTATCATTTTGAATAACCCTCGATTGGATCAATGCCTCATAAGAGCTTGAGTCTAGCTGGATCCCGGCTTTACGGGCATCTCTTAAAAGTGATGCTGCATTTCCCGCTTGCTTTGCTTGACAATATGCTTTTAAAAGAGAGGAGTATACAGCTGAACCGGTTCTTACACCAGCCAAAAACATCTCATCGAGAAGGTCATGCGCCTTGTCTAACCATCCAAGTGATATGCACGAATTAATTACATGAACCAAGGCTGAATCGTCATTGGATGCTGGGGAATCTTCTTTGTCGGCCTTTATAAGAAACTCTGCCAAATCCTTGGTCTTGTCTGCTTCCAGAAACGCCTTGACTAATTTCACGAAAATTTTTTCAGTTGGCTGGAGGATACCGCGGTCAGTTGTTACCAATTTGATTTGGCTCTGCAACTTAGCTAACACTGCACCAAGTACTTCCTTTGCATCAGTCTCAAGTCTCAAGAAATTTCTGTCCCTAGAAAACTCATCATAAGATACTAACGGGCTACTTAAACCATTATCTTCATAACCATTTGATTCTACATAGCTTGAACTTTTACCGGACAGAGATCCCGGTCCAAGAGACTTGTTGCCCTTTCCAGCAGCATCAAATACCAGTGTTGCTACTGCAAGAGAACTTCGTGCTGCTTTTGCCTTCCTTAGCATTTCCAAGACCATGTTGGATGCAGAATCTAGATCCCCGAATTTCAAATGGCAAGTCAACAAGCAGTTGTAGAATTGCCGATACTGGATATCGGTAAGGTTGTGGGCTTCATCTATGTATCGTTGAAGTTTCGTAAGCTCATCTCTTCGTCCATTTCTCTCATATACTTGTGCCATTAATATCAACAAGTTAGCGTCCATTTTGACACCAACTCGAGGCATCATGTCAAGGATCTGCTCGGCTTTCCTAGTTGTCCCAAATATGAGACAGCCAGCCAAAGCGACATTGAAAGCAGTAGTATTAGGCTTCATAGCAATCAAAGGTGCATTACACTTCTTACGCGGATCGATCCTGTTATCTTGGAATAGGTAACCTATCTCGAGAATCAACTCTGCAGCAAGGTAAGCCCCTTGAGCTGTTCGAGACATGTAAGCCAAGATTGCAGACCAGGCAGCAACAGGGGGAAACTGTTCCATCTCTACCATCTTTCTCAAAACAGTCGACGCAGGATTAGGTAATCCGGCTTTGGCAAGCCCAAAAGACAGATAAATCAGCGTTTCCTTCTCTAACAAATTCAGTTTACTTTTCTCAATAGCATGTTCTACCAGCCCGTACGCCTTCTCCAGCCACTGAACATCAAAGCTTTCCACGAAACTCGTTACGAGCTCATTCATAACGGATTTCCTAGGAAACCCTTCCATCTGCATATGCCGCTCATGCAACTTCCAAGCATCACTTAGTCTGTGCTCATCAATTGCATTCTGTATCTCCAAAGTTAACTTAGCCGGGTCTCGAGCCTGGACCAAGATTGTTCCCGCCATAGTAGAAAAGAAGCTTCCTTTAGGTGTAAGTTTATCATCTCGGACTTTTGACTTGGCCAAAGAAGAAGAGCCGAGAAACCCACAAACTGACCTGGCACTCGAATAAGCTCGAAGATGAGATTCCGATATCCGAGCTACAATACAACTAGCATTAGCAAGTAGAAGATAAAGAACAGATGGGCAAACTGAAGTTGTCCGATAGCTGAATTTCTTCATACAAAACATCTTATCCAGTCAAAGAAAAATTACCAATCAACTCACTACCCGAAAATCACCAGAAATTCTACCCAGAGAAGCAAGTAACCAAAGACATTGAAGCGGCCAACTTCCCTGAGGCATTTTATCAAGCAGGTGGTGATCGACTGAGGTTGAAAGGAGAAGCACGTCGCATTGGACATGCAAGAATAAGTTCAAGTACTAGAAAGGTGGGCATGGTTACTGTTACTTTGGCGTCGGCATGTCGCCGGAGTTGGATGCAAAGAGCCTGGCAGAAGAAGAAAATGAAATTTTGAATATCACAGAGGGAGAGAGAGAGGAGGTGTCGAAGTGAGCGAGGGAAGAAGGCGGGTCCAAAGTTGTAAAATGTGAAAATATGAATTTTCTTTTAATTGGATAGGTTCAGGGAAGGGGCAGAAAAGGAAAGGACATTTTGGTATGAGTGTGCAGAAATCATTTATTAAGAAGAAATTGCAATCAAATTATATTATAGCATGACCCAATGACTATTTCAATAAGCTATTAAAATATGAATAATGCATGTCTACTCAAAGATAAATAAGAACTCATACTCAAAACTCTCCGCGTTTGAATTATGAAGCTTTGTGTTTATGATTAGAACTGTTCATATTATAATTCACTTAATAAAGGTCATCTTTGAAAAAAAAAATATAAATAAATACAAGCAAGGTCGTTTGGACAATTTATTGTAGTAGATACGTCGACAATTCGTAATGCTTTTACCAATTCCGTTTATCTGTTTTTATACAATTCGATGAATAACCAACCTTAGTTATATTGACTTTTTGCAGAGGTGAGATATAATGATTTATAATATAAACTGTTCATATCGTAAACATAGAGTTTTGTTATCGGCAAAGAGCAATTTTAAGTATGAACTCCTACTCATGCTCACTGGCGGAGGAGGTAAGGGACCAGGGAGTGCCTGGGCCCATCCTGGTAAGGGACCAGGGAAGCCATGCATCAACCGCAAAGCCTATTCCAAAGAGTCAAGTTTCAAAAATCTACTCAACGTGAATTTGTTAGTGATTACCAAACTTTATTCCAGTTGGACGCTCACATTCTCTCGAAGCTTGAGCGAACAAGGACTAGAAAGTATGTTGATAAACTGCTGGAGAAAGAAGTTTCTGCTAATCCAGAGGTTGGAGGCATCTGCGGAGAGAGTCGTAGAATTGGAGACGAGAAGTTGAAGAATCATACGTAACGGTTCAGAAGTATCGGACGAGGAAAGCATGCTAGCGGTGGATTTAGAGTAGTGAGATTGTTAGCAAGTTTTTGGAGAAACCCATCCAGTTCTTGAGGAATCGTGAGGGGGACTTGGAGGAGTAGTTGAAGGAAGTGTAGTTTCTTGTGACTATTCTTGAAGAGTCCTGTTTGACGGAGAAGACAATACGAATTCATGGCTAGCTAGCTGCCTCTAACAACTATTCTTTTATGTAAGGAGATTAAATTTGTAGATTAAATTTGCAAACTAAATGATGTGTTGCCAATTATAATTAAGCACATTAATCAACACTTAAGTAATAATTCAATTATCAATTTCCATAACATTTAGTTATCACATTTAGTCTCCCTAACATTACCCCCTCTCCCTCTCTATATATATATATATATATTCTTGCAATGCCACAAGATATTGATTTGTTTGTAATGAGAATATAACGGTGAATTACAAGCAGAAAAGGGGATTAAACGAATCCGCACCTTTTTTTTTTTTTTAAATTTTAAAGTTAATTGTTTAGGCCCATTAACGCTTCCTGCTCTCAATAATAGAGATGTACGCTAAGCACACAATGGTATCACTGGCCAAGTTCTCAGTTCGCTTAACTGAAAAACTGCGAAAAAATAGTAGCTGCTGCCAGCACTATCGTTAGGATGCAACGAGAATAAAGTCAAGTGTATCCTTCACTACTTAATAATTGAGCTATCGATGAACGGATCTTCTAATTTTGTTGTGCAATATTCTACACTAAATTAATAGAACGCAAAACAAATGAAAACAAAACATACTCTCATCCCTTGCTCTTATTTAAGATCACAACCCGAAATTTACAACATTTAGTTGGCATACAAGTCCTGACCTCTTACTTAAGGTTACAAGCCAACATTTACATTAGTTGACAGCGTTATAATATACATATAGGTACCACAGAAGTCCTGATCTCTTATTCAAGGTTACAACCCAACATTTACATTAGTTCACCGCGTTATACTATATATATCGGTACCCCAAAACTCCAACATCCTCCTCCTTAGGGCTTCTCACAAAACCTCAGAACTTTCATGCATAAACCCAGCCGTGCTGAGGCTGCTCATTTGGTCCTTCGAAAAACAACTCATCTTTCTGGTTGTTGAAAATACTCTCCACCTCGCTCGCTGGCACGTTAAACGACAGCTCCTTGGCTTGCCTATCGAACTGGCTCACCACATTGTTCTTCCCTACCAGTGGAAACCTAATGTTGTCTCGAGCATTGACTTCGAAGCAGAGGAGTTGGAGGTTATTGTTCCTTGAGGCAATGATTGTGACAGGATGGCCGGCGGGGGCAACAAACACCGCTCCGCGCCTCAAGTCTCCGCTCATCTTTTGGTAAGTTGGGCTGCTCTTTTGTCTCTGTTGTGACCTTCCACTGTGCTGGCGTTGTTTGCCAACATGCGGGCATGCCATCTCAAAGTGGCCTTCACCATCTAGCACAACTGATATCTTTGTAGCCCTTGAGTTGAAAAATGGACTTCCATAGCACCCTGTATCACAACAAAAACGGAGAATTCATTGGTTACTCATTTTTAAGCTACGTAGGATTTGTGTGAATTGGATTGGTAAAATTTAAAAAGAAATACGAACATGTCGCTCTTCTGAATTCAAGAGTTCAGTGAAATCACTGTCTGCAACATATCTAAGTAGATACTTTTGCGAAATCACATTTTGACACGCATACGCAAAATTAAGTCATTAGACACGAAAAGATGAGTTTACAAGCTTATATGAAAGAAGCAAGTCCACACTTAATAAGAAAAGTCAATCACTAAAAACGTGAAAGGATCGATGATTTATAAACTTATGTAAAGAAGTCATCAAAAACATGAAAGGATGAATTTATGCATGTGTCCAACAATGGTTTGTGAAAACATGATTTGCAGCTCGAACCAGCATTTTTTTCATATGTTCTTACCCTGGTGATGTTAGCAAAGGAGACGAGGAGGTCAAACTCCTGAAGCTGCTTGAAGTCTTTGAAATCAGCTTCAAAGAGACGGCCAAACTTGTTTTCTTGGGAAGCATGCTTCTTAAAAAGATTGAATGAATCTTTTGAAGATGATTCACCGCCATGGAAAGGCAGCGGCCAAATGCCTTCACTGCCGCCATGACCATGCTGCTGGCTCATTCTCTGTACTTGTTCTTTGGAGGCCCTTATGATGCTGCCTCGCCTCTGCTGCCCAAATAGTCTATCCAACTTATTCCTATCCGTCTGTTTAATTAGAAGCACAAACATATTTAACCCGCCATATTAGTAAAAACGCACAAATATTCAACAGAATGGAATTGAAATATGTTACCTTAAAAGCGGCTTGGAGAACTTCGGGGCTGAATGCTTTGAAAAAGGATTCGGGGTCTTGGCCGCCGGCCGAGTGAAACGCCTCGTATTCTCCGGGGGTAGAGACTGTTTTGAGAAGTTCGACAATATGGAGCCCTTCATTCTCGTCTCTGTTGAGTATATAAAATGGGGTGCCTGCCGGAATCCTAAAGAGATCTCCACGTTCAAGATTGTGGCTCTCTTTCTTCTCCTCCTTCACCACAGTGATTGTTGGCCGACCTTTATTCACATAAAACGAGAAAAAATGGATTATTTAGGACCCAAAAAGTGAAAACTTTGTGGTTGTGGTATTAACGTCTTAATGAGTTAATAAGCGTACACATAATACATCTTATTATGTAGGACTGAAATCAGCACCACATAGATTATAGTTTCAATAAATATATAACAGTATATTACGTACTATCAATAAATATATATAGTCATGTTATATATTATGATTAGACGTGATTCCAGTGCCACACAATAATTAAAATAATTAGGACAATTACTAAACAAGTGACTTGCCTTGGAAAACAAATAGGACACAATCGGCATCAAGATGAGTTGGAGCAACGAATGCATGAGGTTCCGTGACAAGAAACCCGACTCGAAAATTCTCAATCCCACGCAGAAGATCAGACCTTTCGTTGAATTTCTGCAGAACCTGAACCCTACCTTCCTCAGTTTGAACCCTCGTCTCGAAATGCTGGTCTTCGAAGAAGTAAGGATTCTCGTCTCCTTCTTCTTCTTGTTGTTGCCCTTGCCCCTCGAACTCCTCTCTCTCACGTATGTAAAAACTTCCTCCTTCCCCTCCTCCTCCTTCCCACCTCCCCCGCTGCTCCTCCTGCTCGCTCTTCTGCTTGATGTAGTCCTCGCACTTCCTCTCGCACTGTTTCTTCTGCCACTCCTCAAACCCTCGCTGGTGTTTGCACTGGTGCTTACACTGCTTCAGCTCCGGATCTTCCAAAGCCACAGCAACAAAAGCACTCAGAAAAAAAGCAGACAGCAGCAAGCAAACCACAAGTACCCTACCTTTCAAATCCATAACTCTATACGAATATATCTCAGATTTTTGCTTAGTTTTTCTGATGGAGGTGATGAACGCAAGAAAACTATAAATATGGAGAGATTATGGGATAAGGAAGTAGGATCGAAGCCATGCATGACGACGAGTGTCCAGTGTCCGTGTTACGTGTCGATTGATGGATCAATCCAGAGCTCCAATGGAGTATATATATTTCGATATGCCTTCTAAGCTTTTGTAGCGTCAGGTTTTGGTTCTGGATTTGCTTTGGATTGCTTTGTCCTGTAGTACTTTAATTATTTCGGAAGTAGAAAAAGTTGGGGGATTTTTTTTCTGGCGAGTTTTATCGGCATGCAAAAGGATGCGTCTGCTGTGTTTCTTGTGCAGCGCTCGCCATGTCCATGTGAATCACATGGCAGGAGCCCGTACGGACATGTAAGGTTCTAGCTAACAAACAAATTTATCCATTGACTTCCTCAATTTATTTTCGTTTTTAAATTTATTTTCTTGTCACATTTTCTCACTAGTATCTTGCAAATTTTCGTTTTGAATTATAACGTAGATATTGATTTGAATTTCGGTTCAAAATAATTCACATCATAATATTTTTTTATTATAACTTCGTCATCAAGTTAATGTTATTTCTTCACTTTTATGATGGAGGTTTTTTTTCACTCTTAGTTGAAAGGCTAATCGAGTCAGAGTATGTCAGTTTATCAGGATTGTTATATTCTGATATGGGTTTCACCGTATCCCGAGCACGACTCCGTCATAACATAATATTGTTCGCTTTGGGTCCTGCCCGAGCACGACTCCGTCATAACATAATATTGTTCGCTTTGGGTCCTGACCATGCCCTCACAGTTTTCTTTATGGGAACTCAAACGAGAAATTTCTAGTGGGTCATCCATCTTAGGAATGTTCTCGTCCGAACTTGCTTAACTTCAGAGTTCCGATGGAATCCGAAGCCAGTGAGCTCCTAAAAAGCCTTGTGCTATATGGAGATGGGCATGTACATATAAGGCATAGAGGATCTATTCCCCTGAGCGATGTGGGATCTAACAGGAGTGCCCGTTAGCTGCGATGTGCTTCTCAACAGTCATGTTGATTCTAAGTTACATATGCTGCTTCTCAACTGGCAGTGGTAGCAAAGAGTTTGGGCGAGTGTGAAGCCATGGCTAATGGGTTAACGTATAAATAACAAGCTTTTTTGTTTTCGGGTTTAATTTCTAACAGATTCTACTACAATGGTTTATTTAATTTTTTTTACCGCAGAAACTATCTTTTGACTACTCTAACACCACGATGACCAATTATCCAATTAGGCATGACCCAAGCACCTTTCCGATTGTTTGCCAAACATATGTAGAAACGTTTTGTGTTATCTTGAAAAAATGTATCCACTGTTAGAGATCCATGTATTTGTATGGCTATCTGAAATGGTCCATATGCAAGAATAAGTTCATCTGAGATTTTAAGTAAATTAACGGCCTTAAACCTGAGAAATCCTATAGCAATCAAGCCGTTTCGTTTGTCCAATGTTACCAACGAAATAACAAAATGTAGGCACATATTCAGTACAAGAAATTCTTAAACCATTTTCACCAAACATACGAGAACTAATATGCTCCCATTTCTTTCGGGTTTTGATCACAAATGGTCTCATTTCTTTCTGCTACAATCATCCATCCAAGCTTCAGAATGATAGTAGGAGACTAATTATCTCAAAGTTCAGGCATTCCCTTCCCCGTCTTAGCGTCATATGTCTTCTCCAACACGACATCCATCGGAGTGTCCTTGGGGCCAGCTGCAACCAAAGTTTATTTTTGATTATCAGCAGAAAACATGGCGAACTGAGATATTTGTTATATAAGTAGCAACAAAAGAATATAGATCTCAGGACTTGAGATAAGTACCAACAGTAGGTCTTGGAGTAGTCCTTATTTTCAAGATCTCAGGACGAGGGATTATAGATCCCGATGCGCCTAATCCTCTAGATACTCGAACTTTTGTTCCATCCTCAAGATATCTCACACCGACCTTAACAGGCCTCCTGCAGGATGAAAATTTTGATCACCACACTGAAAGTGAAACAAAGGAAAAAAACATAATGCGAAGATGAGTGCATCCATACCCTGTCACCGGATCAACAACTTGCACATTTGAGGCATGGAGAGGCGCTTCGACAGTGAAAATCCCACCTTCATGACCTTGGCCTTGCTTGATATGTTTCTTTACCTGCAATGACAGAGTAATTGTTCAGCAGCAACCAAAATCCAGATAACTCATTGGAACCGAATAAACAAAAGCCTTGAGCATTGAAAGAAATTAGATTGAAACGATAAGAATTGGATAGAAAAAAAGCCTTGAATATCATATACTACATTATTCTCGTCTGCATGGTATCCTTCAGACCCCAATGATTTTTTCAACACAATGGGACACATTGCATAGGCATTGCACAAGACAGCGAATTTCACTACTAAGATGACCCTTAGAAGAGCTTCCAACCGTCAAAGATACTTTTAATAAATAAGCATACTGTCCACAGACTACCAACCACATTACACTGGCCAATTCCACTTGCTCAATGGTAGGCGTGAGAAAAGTGCATAACCCCAAAAACATGGTCGAACATTTTTGTTGCGATAATCATAGAGATCATCTACAATCTCAATCCGATTGGAGTGACCAGAACAGAACGGATCCATAACAAGTTTTCTCACGAAGAAAAATGCTATAATATTGAATGAAACAGTATATAAAGTTGCTCAAAGAATTGCAAGACAAAATCAGATAAACCAAAACAGTATTACCAAATTACATATCATAGGGCTAGACTAATACCAGATTTTTGCCTTCCACGATGACACGATTCTGAGAGCGAATGACTCGCTTGATGACACCCGTCTCGCCCTTGTCTTTGCCTCTTGTTATCATCACCTGCACATGAGAATAGAAAATTGTTAATTAATAAATAATAGATAAAGAAAGAGGGACAGAGAAAATGATATAGATTTCCCCCTCACATTATCTCCTCTGAGAATCTTCCAGTGCCTAATGAGTTTCTCAGCTGCTTTCCAACCCATTTCGAGTTAAACCCAGATATCTCCTGCAGAAGCCAACAACAAACATTACAACCAAAATTTTTGGTATTTCAAAGGCAGATTAAGATCACACTCACATCAAATGATCAAATCACATAGCATACGAAACAACCTCATTTCCTAATCAGCAAGTGGGTTAATCTAATTTTTCCTGATAAATACAATTTTCATAAAAAATATTGGATTTAAAAGTAAAGAAGCGAACAACCCAATTGCCAAACGAGTTCCAACTTGTCAAAACTCTTTGAGACATTTCGTCAAGCACCTGGTGGTCATGCTATGCTTAACGAGAAATTACAAGAAAAAATAAAGGTACTAACCAACCATTACACGAGAAACAATAAGCTCAACCAAGTACAGGAAAACCCGAAATTACTCACAGTTAACTCGGCGTCCCTACGAACTGTGGATTTCGCCCAGAAAAGCTCGCCCGGCAGAAGAAAAAAAGAACACGACGAAGTTCAGAGTTGGGAAAGGCTTTAGGGGAAGAGAGAAGAAAACGATTTCTATGGTTTTATGATTTCTTTGGGCTTCAGGTTGGGCCCATCTTCCATTTATTGACTACAGGCCCAAGAAAAATTACTAACAGGAGTGGTTTGTAATTTTGGCATGAATTTGGTGGAATTTGTTTAGAGGTGGAGTCAAATTAGAATTTTGAAGTATTTAAAAAGATTTTAAAATTATGGGATAGTTAATCGGATTTTAAGAGACATTCAGCCAAAATGATTCTCAAATACATGAGACATACCACGAATGTGACATCCCACATCGCTAAGGGGAGTGATCATTATATGTATATTCTCATCCCTACCAAGCACGAGGCCTTTTGGAGCTCACTGGCTTCGGGTTCCATGGGAACTCTGAAGTTAAGCGAGAAGGGGGCTAGAGCAATCCCATGATGGGTGACCTACTGGGAAGTTACTCGTTAGTTCCCAAAAACAAAACCGTGAGGATGTGCTAGGGGCCCAAAGCGGACAATATCGTGCTACGGTGGAGTCGGGCCCGGGAAGTGGTCTCGCCCGGCCCGGGATGTGAAATTTGGTATCAGAGCCTAACCCTGGCAGTGGTATGTTGACGAGGACGTCGGGCCCCTAAGAGGGTGGATTGTGAAATCCCACATCGCCCAGGGGAGTGATCCTTATATGTATATTCTCATCCCTACCTAGCACGAGACCTTTTGGGAGCTCACTGGCTTCGGGTTCTATGGGAACTCCGAAGTTAAGCGAGAAGGGGGATAGAGCAATCCCATGATGAATGACCCACTGGGAAGTTGCTCGTGAGTTCCCAAAAACAAAACCGTGAGGGTGTGCTGGGGGACCAAAGCGGACAATATCGTGCTACGGTGGAGTCGGGTCCGGGAAGTGGTCCCGCCCAGGCCGGGATGTGAAATTTGGTATCAGAGCCTAACTCTGGCAGTGGTATGCCGACGAGGACGTCGGGCCCCTAAGGAGGGGTGGATTGTGACATCCCACATCGCCTAGGGGAGTGATCCTTATATGTATATTCCCATCCCTACCTAGCACGAGGCTTTTTGGGAGCTCACTGGCTTCGAGTTCCATGGGAACTCCGAAGTTAAACGAGAAGAGGGCTAGAGCAATCCCATGATGGGTGACCCACTGGGAAGTTGCTCATGAGTTCCCAAAAACAAAACCGTGAGGGTGTGCTGGGGCCCCAAAGCGGACAATATCGTGTTACGGTGGAGTCGGGCCTGGGAAGTGGTCCCGCCCGGGCCGGGATGTGACAACGAAACTCAATTTCTACATTTTATATTATCACTATCTTCTACTTCTTGCTTTTCCAATTAACCAATTACCTCCAACAAATATAATGTATTCAGAAGTAGATGTGATAGGACCAATCTAATCTGCATATGTATAACCTTCAACATCCAAATGATCATTCTTTGAAACACCAAACCATTACGAGGAACTAACTTCAAATCTCTCTCAATATGACCCACAATATTCGTGTGAGAATCACTAGGCAAAAGTACATGAATTGTCTCTCTACACTAGATCAAGATATAAACTTAGTCGGTGATTCTGCTCAATCGAATGCTATCAATTGGTTTGCAAACCAACATACCAGTTTCAACCAATAAATCAAGTACATATATACATATATATTTTTTTTTTGACAAGAAAATACCAGTTTTAAACTAATCCATATAACTTAGTCAATGATTCTGCTAAATCAGAGTAACAATAAGTTTGCAAACCAACATACCAATCTCAACCGATAAATCAAGTGCATATTATTATTATTTTTTTTTATAAACAGGAAAATACCATGAAGCAACCTCAATTCCAAAATATTTTCTCACCCAATTCCTTCAATTCATGCTTAGAAGCTAGATACCTTTAAGGGCAGTATTGTAATTCCTCATTATCATCACCAGTTACCACCATATCCATCAACTTAGATAATCGATTTAGTTAACTTATCCTTTCGCCGCTTCAAAAACAAAATATATACAAAGACTTCCGAATTTTACACACAACACCTTTCTTGGAAGCTATATCAATGGTAGGTGGAAGATCAGTATACTTTCTCCATGAGATCATTACAGAGGAAGACATTTATAACATCCATTTATAGCAAAGGCTAATTCAGATAGCAACTAGGGACAAAATCACCAGCGTATGATACCATACCATGAATGACTATTGCACCAGGAGCAAATATAGAGAGAATTGAAAAGAAAGATTCATCACAGCGGAGTCTAGCAGTGATCATTTTTATAATTTACCATTTATCTAGCAATTTTCTGTGCTTCACCGATTCTTTATATAATCATGTAGAACTTTTGCAATCCAAATCTGATTGCAATGTGGCAAAATATCCGGACTCTTAAGAATTGTTTCCTCATCTAGGTAAATATTGAGGATGTAAACGTTGACCTTTGTATTTACTAATAATTTTCTCTAATTGGCAAAAAAAAAAATTGTAAAAAAAAAAAAAAAAAAAAATCAGATTAATATCTAAATAAAGTATATGTAGACTGATGCCAGATTGTGCCTTCTACTATTACACGATTCTGATAACGTTCTAGGATTATTACTACAAATACGTTACTTGAGAGGATTCGTTGTATACTTATATCTAATTCCATATTAATTTTTTAAATCTACACACATTTGAAGCCTATAAATACAAGGATATAAAAATGACATCACACGTCTAGAGTTATTTGTAAGATTTTCACCTTCTACAAAATATATTTTGCTTTCTCTGAAATTTTAATTGTAAAGTTGAGATGGCAAAAAACGTGTCCCTCCTCGGTTTTTTTATCATTTTTGTTGTTCTTGGTTCAAGTAATTGATCTCCTTATTGTGACATCTCACATCGCCCAGGGGAGTGATCCTTATATGTATTTCCCCATCCCTACCTAGCACGAGGCCTTTTGGGAGCTCACTAGCTTCGGGTTCCGTAGGAACTCCGAAGTTAAGCGAGAAAGGGGCTAGAGCAATCCCATGATGGGTGACCCACTGGGAAGTTGCTCGTGAGTTCCCAAAAACAAAACCGTGAGGGAATGGTAAGCCCAAAGCGGACAATATCGTGCTACGGTGGTAGAGTGGGCCCGGGAAGTGATCCGCCCTGGGCCGGGATGTGACAATTGGCATCAGAGCCTAACCCTGGTAGCGTGTGTGCCAACGAGGACGTCGGGCCCCTAAGGGGGGTGGATTATGACATCCCACATCGCCCAGGGGAGTGATCCTTAAATGTATATTCACATCTCTACCTAGCGCGAGGCCTTTTGGGAGCTCACTGGCTTCGGGTTTCATAGGAACTCCGAAGTTAAGCGAGAAAGAGGCTAGAGCAATCCCATGATGGGTGACCCACTGGGAAGTTGCTCGTGAGTTCCCAAAAACAAAACCGTGAGGGAATGGTAAGCCCAAAGCGGACAATATCGTGCTACGGTAGTGGAGTGGGCCCGGGAAGTGGTCCCGCCCGAGCTGAGATGTGACAAATTGGTATCAGAGCCAATCCTTGGCCGGAAATGTGCCGACGAGGACGTCGGGCCACTAAGGGGGGTGGATTGTGACATCCCACATCGCCCAGGGGAGTGATCCTTAAATGTATATTCTCATCCTTACCTAGCACGAGGCCTTTTGGGAGCTCACTGGCTTCAGGTTCCGTAGGAACTCCGAAGTTAAGCGAGAAGGGGGCTAGAGCAATCCCATGATGGGTGACCCACTAGGAAGTTGTTCGTGAGTTCCCAAAAACAAAACCGTGAGGGAATGGTAAGCCCAAAGCGGACAATATCGTGCTACGGTGGTGGAGCGGGCCAGGGAAGTGGTTCCGTCCCGGGCCGGGATGTGACACTTATAGCCTTTTTTGATTAACTATTATATGTAAATTGATTTTTGATCAATTTCTCTCAAACTTTGAGTTATCAAACTATGCATGTCATAAAACTAAATAAGATTAAAAATAAACTAAAATTTCAACAAACGTTGTTGCATCATTTCTTAAATGCATTAAGTTTTATTTTGCAAGTGGTGGATAGGGCATTTTTCTCAATCCACTGCCTCCGGTTTTTAAAATTTTCCGTCTCTTAATTTAGTAATATTATTTGTAATCAAAAGAATAAGTTTTATTTGAATGCTTAACTGTGATTTGTGTAGCTTCCGATACGGTGGCGATGAGACTTATGGATACCAATATTGGTGGTGGCTTCTGCACGTCGGTGGAATTAGATGTGCCGTGTGCAAATGCAGGGCAGGACAAACCATGCTTAGATAGATGTACCTCCAAATTTCCTGGATCCAATGGTAACAAAGTCCAGTCACGGTGTGGATATGTCCGTGGGCAAGGTATTGGAGTGTTGAGATGCACGTGCACGCATCCTTGCTAAATTGCTCATGCTATTATTCTCAGTCGTGTGTCTCTACATCGATTATTAATATTAATAAGAACAGAAATAAAACTAAATATTTTTTTGTTATTATGTATCCTCATTGTACGATAAATCTTGATTGTTATTGATGTATTAAAAAAATATTGATGGGATTATTTACTTCCACTCATAAATAGAGAAAAAATACTATTATATGGATTCATTCAAAGTTGTCTCTTGTTGATTCTAAGTTTAAACCCATAACGTATATGATTATGAATGTGAAACAAATAAAAATAAATACCTATTTAAGATGCTTTCTTGAATCACTACAAGACAAGGATTGTACAACAAATAAAAATAAATCAAGTATATAATTTCTTTTTTTTTTTGACAAGAAAATACCAACCAATAAATCAAGTGCATATTTTTTTTTTTCTAAACGAGGAAATACCATGTTTGGTTTAAGCAATCTCAATTCCAAGAAAATATTTTAAGTACTCACCCTATTCCTTCAATTCAAACTTAGAAGCTAGATACCTTTAAGAACAGTACTGTAATTCCTCATTTTCATCATTAGTTACTACGTATCCATCAACTTAGATAATCAATGCAGTTAACTTTTCCTTTCGTCTCTTCAAAAACAAAATATATACAAAGACTTCCGAATTTTACACACACCA